TGTATAATCTGTTTGTACGTTTTACATTGTTTAATGCATGTACGGTACATAAAGTTCATTAATTATGTCTGTTTACTAAATTGTTAGATGTGCTTCAGGTTCATGCATTTAATATGTTTATTATGCTGTGTGATACATGTGTTATTTGTTTGGTCAAATTTGTATGTATTTGTATCTATCCATGATTTCTTCATCATTGCGTTTGATATGAGTATATTCATGTGCACGTTCATTATATAATTTGTTATATATAAACACTGATTTGTTCATTGGTTGTATCATTTCATATGCTCCACATGTCATTATATGTATGACTCAAAATATCTTCCAATACATTGTCCATTAATATATTAACTTATCCTTGGGGCCTATTTTCCTAGCCACTAAATAATATGTATTGCTTATTCAATATATCATGTTTTATATGTTATGTACTGTTTGTTTATATTTAATGAGTGTATTACTTCTTTGTTAATGTGATATCTCGATCACTGTACTAAATGCTATTCTTATAGCAGCAATGATGGCAGTTGCACAGATGGAGTATTAAGATGTTGAACTCCTTTACCTTTTGTGACAATGTATTCATCACCCTCCAACACATCATGCAAAATATTGCGCATGATGTCAATGTGAATATCATGTAATTGTTGTACTGCTCCACTTTGACTAATCGGTGTAATTTGTAAAATGCCACAACGAAGCAATGACAGTCATCATGCTGTACACGAAAGCAAAGTTTGATTAAAATCCAATCACTGGCATCCCAGATATTGCGCATGACATTTGGATAGACAGACCGGGGTCAATCCATAGTCTCTCTTCTAATTTCATTGTGGGGGACAATTATAAAGGTGCTCTAATCTTTTTTCATGTCTTGGCTTATTGCGTGTCCGCTTGGTTTGACTACTGCTTGGTGTCCTTGAGGGGTGTTATCAGCATTTACCTTTTCTCAAGAGGAAAAATGGCAGTCTTAACAAATAAAATGCAAATCCACATGGGTTACACCTGCCTCATGTGTGAAAGCCAACACTCGGCACACAGTTTTGAAGTTTAGACAAGTCAGTCACCTTTGTTGTGTGAAGGTTATCTACTCATCTTTGAGTGTGACCTTTACTACCAAGAAATGTGTCTATCCTCTTATTCATTCGGCAGTTGGCTTTTAACTATTAAACTGCTATAAAGGAGAAGAGTCAAGGTTCAGATGAAACCAGCAAAGGTGAACCTTGAAAAATAAATAAAGAGAATATGTCATACAAAGCCATCAGACACTATCCATCTTACAATTTACTTGAAAGGTTTGAAAGAGTTACAGTTAAGTGTATATTAAGTTCTATAAGCACTAGGTCTTGGCTCATTCATTCATTTTCCATTTGATTTAATAGCTTAATAATAACTTGATGATAGTGATAGCGACTGACATTTTCAAGTACAACCTGGCAGCTGCTATGATGATCATCAGTTTTAATGGTTGCTTTTGGCACACAATTTAAAGTAAGCTAATAGACTTATTGAATGGGGAGATGGCATATTATAGACATTGTATTTAGTTTTGGTTGGTTTTGTTTTATTTTCACAATTTATTACCAATAGAAAAGCATTTATCATCAATTCTATAAGCTCAGGTAGGGATGGGCAATGAGGCCAAAAATGTTATCAGAATAAAAAATAAATCACTTGATATTTATCCCGATACATTTCAAATCATTCAAGTTTAAATGCAGATTTTTCCTCCTGAGTAAAAGTTGAAGAAACCAGACGGTAAATTGTGGTTTTAAACTTTTCTTTATGGTCAGAACATGACAAAAACTTGCCAAACAGTGGATCACTTAATAATTATGATAAAATCCTTTTCCAACAAATATGCCTGAGTAAAATTCTTCTCTAAAATCTTTTTTTAGTCCTTTTTCTCAACAAAATAAATAGAAAAATAAAGTGCTAATTCATTCGTGATTGAAATAGATTAAATCAAACATCTATTGAATATTTGTTATATTGTTATTCAGAAAAATTAAAATTGTTGTTATTGTTTTATTTCCCAGCCCTACGCTCAGGATTTTGTGGCTACAGTCTTTTGGCTAATGTTAGCTACAGTTCTCTTTTTGTGCTACCACTATTTTTTCAGTATGCCAGATAAAGCACTAAACTGACTTTACATTTTGTTCGGATTAAACAGACAAGATATAATGTGTTAATTAGTAAGCTTTAAATGTGATGACAGTTGGATTGTGTTATCTTTGGACAGATCCAGGCTTCCTCTGTTTGTAGTATTTGTGCTAAGCTAAGCCAAATGGCTGCTGGCTGTAGCTTCATATTTAGCGTACAGACATGTGAGTGGTCTCATTTGAACTCTCTGCCAAAAGTAAGTGTAGATCCCAAAATGTCAAACTATTTCTTTAACTTACCAAATATTTGGTGATATATATGGGTTTCTTGTGTACAAACCAGCCAGGGAGCAAAAGCACTTTGGTAGCCGGTCAGAAGACTGTCGTCAACCACTATAATCAACATAGATTACGCATTGTTTGTAAATTCTTGTTGACTCAATAATAAACTGCCATTTCAGAGTTGGATCTGTTTGTTTGTGTGTTATTACGCATATTAATATAACATGCGTGACCACGCTGCAGGTCAGCGACACCGGACCTTATGTTGTTCAAGTGGGCTGCTAGCCAAAAAGCTAAAGGAAGAATTGAGAAAGAGGGAGAGAGCTGTAAGTCCTGCCATTAGGCCTAACTTAGCTGTGTCACACTCAGAGATGCAAAGAACATTGTCTTCCGTTGTAAACTTTGTGCGACCAGCAAAAAGCTTTCAACCACAAACAATTTTGTATTGAAGCATCTGCTAAAGCAGCACAGCTATGTGAAACTCCGGCCACTACTGCAAGTGAAGCATCCACTCGGCAGGGAGAGTGCCGTTAAGCTATGGATTCAGTTTTGATTCATGGCAGGATACGAATTCCATATTCAGCAACGTTTTGCGTTTTGTAAAAGCACTGAATACTTCTCTTATAAATGCATGTGCAGACACTTGCTTGATTTTTGTAAATGTCAGCCAGTGGCATTAAAAAACCTTTTTGTTTCGTAAAAATCCTACTCATTGCTGCTGTTATGAATAAGCGATTAGTTCAAATGTTGGGAGAGACCTGCTTGTTTTATTTTGTTTTTTTATATAGCCTATATCCATGGCCTATACGATACAGCATCCCCTGGTCTGAGAGGCTGCAGTGTTTTCAGTTCGGCTGCTTGTTGACTCCTCAGGTTAATTATTGTTCCAGTAAAGTGGATTCATTTCTAAAATGCGCTGCTGAACAGGTTTCCTGTCACTTTCATGGATGGGTTGCGGTGGTGAAAGTAACTGTAATGTAACAAGTAACGTGACTATTTAGTTTTAATACCCAGTAATAAGTAATGTAATATTGTTACTTTTTAAATGAGTAATAAGTAAAAAGTAACTCTGAGTAATTTGCCCAATACTGCTGCTAGATATGCCATATAAACTGATATGCCACAAAGACAGAGTACTGCTTGCTGCCCCCTAGTTGCGCACACATCTCTGTGATGACGTTACACAGAAACGCATCTATACACTCAGTTGCCAGTTTATTAGGCACACCTATTATCAAACAGAGAGGTGTAATAGAAACACCTATTTTATTTTGTATTTTACCTAGGCGCACCTAATAACTGAGTGTAGATTAATAAATATAGTGGAGGATCTACCTACTGTGCAATGTCTCTACAAGTATGTAATCCACAAGCAATATCACATTCTTGCAGTTTTTTTTTCAGTCTTTCTTCCTTTTGGCTGTGACTGCACTTGGTTGTAAAGTGTGCACATTTTGGGGGTGAATAAGAACATGTGAAGCAAAGGTCTTGAGTTTATAACCCAATTCTGATTCACAGCATTGCTGCTAAAGTGCCTCAAAATTGGCATGAAAGAACTTTCCAGTTTTCCTCTCTCTCTTTCTCAGCTAAATATCTCTGAAAGTGGTGCCTATCCTGAAAATAGAAAATCTGAACATAAACGACTGCTCAAAAGCACAAATCCAATGCCAAAACTTTGCGGTTTAAGCCTCGGTAGGCACTGTGCCTCTAATTTGTCAGTACAGTTTAAATTATACGTGAGCTTCCTTGAATAATGATTTTTACATACTGTATCATAAACTAAGGCTGCATTAGGATTAAATGAGACTGAGTATTTTGTAAAATATGGTATAGTCTAAATTTACACAAAGAAGCAAATGATGAATAAATTAATCTGATTGTCATGCGTGTAGTAATACCAATGTGATATTTTGTTTACACCCTCAGGGAAAACACTTCATGATCTATGCTAACACACAAACCACAGATTGCACTTCTGCCAACACCAATTCATCACTCATCTCCATTTTCACAGGAGAAGTGGGTAGTGAAGCTAATCTTAAAAATATCTACTTCAACCTTAATTAGATTTGCTTTATTCATATTTAAACTTGTGTAAAATGTATTTGTATGTGTATTAAAAGCTACGCACAAGCCAGTCACTCCAATCTTTCCAGTGTTTTTGGCCAAATGTAGATTTGCAAAAAGAAAAATGCAACAAGATACTCTGGATATGGAAATTGTACTTGAGTGTACTTCAACTTTAAGGCAAGGCAAGAGGTTTAAATTTTTGCAATTGTTGTAATAAAGTATTTCTATATTATTTCTAAAGCTAAAAAAATAAGACTTTTATTTAGGTTTAGGGTTGATTGTAATGCTTCGTCTCTCTTATGAGTGCTTGCACTTGAATATCCTAAAATATCCACCTCTACTGCTCGATGAACTTATACTGCCTGAGTCTATTAAACCCCCGGCTTAGCAGGGCCTGTCTGACAGTGGAGGGCAGATGGATTTAAACCTCTCTATAACCCTGTCAATGAACAACTTCACTTCACTATATGTGTGTGTGTGTGTGTGTGTGTGTGTGTGAGAGCACCAGTTCCCATGTGCCAAGCGTGTGAGTGCATGACTCACCTCCAGTGATGGTCTGGGATTGCAAAAAAAGAAGGACGGGGTTGGAGGTTAATCTGAGGTTGGTACAGTTCATCAGATTCTTGAAGTGATGTGTGGCAGCAGCAGAAGTAGGCAGGTAGAGCCTGGAGAGCTGAATACAGAACTGCAGCATCAACAGCACCGACTAATAGTAGCCATCCACACTTTGTGGAGAGGTAAACAAAAGCCTGAGACATTTCTGACAGTTGGAGACATCATTAATGTTGTGCCATCTTCTTTGTTTCCATTTAAAAAGCAAAACCAGACACCTGTTAGCCATTTCTCTACTGCCTCAGCCTTTTGCAAGTAAGTACATGGCACAAAAGCAATATTAATGATTTGACAGTCTCTGCACAAAGGAAAACCCTGCATGCCATCAGTAATGACAGTTTCCAATATGTGAACTGTAATATGCAAGTACAGCATTGTTGATTGTTTGTGTGTGTTTCTTTCAGTAGTTTCAATCCAGAGACGTTCAGTAAAACACGGTGTTTGGTTTTAGAATATATTCCAGTCATAACTTGAACAAAGAAGAACAAGCCAAAAAGAGTAAACTCAAGTTAAATTCATTTTGAGCCATGCTAGCAGCATCAGCCGCCTCGACAACAACCCTCAGCTGTACTTTGTGTTCATGCTAATTAGCGTATGTTAGCATGCTAACATGCTAAGATGGTGAACATGGTAAACAACTAAATACTAAAACTAAACATCAGCATAGTAGTGTTGTCATTGTAAGCATGTTAGTACATCAACAACAAATTTAGCTCAAAGTCTGACAGAGCTGCCAGGGTGGCAAGACTCTTAGTTTTGTTAGCTAAATTACTACATAACGACAAGAGGAAAAGTCAGTTATTAAGGCTATATTACAATATCAGCAGTATGTTGAGCAGAAAACCTCAGAGAGCATTAACCTGTAAGTAAAAAAAAAAAAAGCTTTGGAATGCAGCTCAAACACTGTCATCTTTGTGTGCCATTTTGTTGAGAGGGCATGCTGTGTTGACAGCGACGGCAGAAAATGCAAAAAGCCATTCAGATTAAGAATGCTAAGCCTCCAGAGGCACTGCCTCTTCTGCCGTCATATGAAAAGACCCAGAGTGAGACCTGGCATACACTCTGTTGGATTACAGGGGAAAATGCCTTCTATCAAAAAAATTATTACAGCACCTCTTAGCCACCGTGCATGCAAAGAGAAAGCTGAATGAATGAATAATTATGGCAAGGAGACGCCGGAAGGAAGGTGAGGCAGAGGAAGAAAAAGGAGGAAAGGGGAGAGTGAAGGGGTGGTAGGTTTGCAAAACAGGTATTTAAAGTCTGAAATTCATGAATAGTGCAGTATTCATGAACTGTATGGTTAGATATGATTTTGTCTCACAATAATGCATGCACTGATCACTACATTTCCTTTTCATACTCACCCAAAGGGCCCTTTGAATAATCTGTAAAGAAGAAGGAGGCTCAGTGAGTAAGTTTTACAAGGACTACACTTCTGGGGGAATTTTTTTTTTTAAATCACAAATAAGGCTTTATGAATACAATGAAGACTATTTACAATCAGATCAATGGAGCGTTCAAATAATTCAGAAAACGTTTGTGAAATGAATAGATGAACAAGGCTTGTATTGAATTAAGATTTTTCCTCATTTGAATGTTTTGTTTACTTTTGGGTGGAATTGGTGCAGTAAGGGGCTCCACATACAATGCAATTCAGTTTCCACAGGGAGCTCAATTTTATTGATTTCATTTTGAGTAAAATGAATAGCTCCTCATACCAACGGTGCTGTTCACATTATGTTAAATGTAGGACTGAACTGGTAATGGCGTGTGAGAGGACTTTGGGGTTATAACTTCAAGGCAAACTTCTACAGTACCTTGGATAGCAATATCAAATTTAACATCAGCTGTAGATATTTAATACAGCTACCATCGCATATAAATCAAAAGAAGTATAGCAAGTTAGAGTATAACTAGAATTGTTTTATACAAAACCCCACTTATTTGTTGCTCATTGTGAATAGTGTGCCCTGGCCAATGTTTGTACAGTCTTTCATGAACACAACCAAGGCGACAACTACTCAACCAATACTATAATAAGCATTTTTTCAACTTTATAAAGCCATCTTATGTTCACAGCAGGTGACAAATGATTCTTGCACTATTTTTAAAGTCAAACACAGCGCTTTTAAGACCTCAACAAATACAATTTCAGACCCAAAAAATGTCAAAAACAATTTCTTTCACAGAAAAGGGAGACAATTTATTGAGTCCTACTTTGGAAAACAACTCTTTTCCTTTCTTTTGTTCAGTGCTGAGAATACCATCAATTCAGACTTTTCCATTTAAACAATTAACCAATCAGAGAATAGTTCAAGCATACTAAAAGTCTTAATTACGATCCTCAAAACAGCCTTTCCCAAGCCAAAAAGTTGAAAAATCTATGTACATGACTTTGTTTACATATGTATCATTGCGACTTTCATTCAACTTGACAATGAATGATGCCTGCTGACCGTGTGAGGAACCCACAGCACCTCAGCCCTTCGTGTATCTGGCGTTACACAAAATTGCTCAATGCCAAATGTTACGAGGGAGTCGGACGAAGTTTGTGGTATGCCAAGTGCAAACAATTAGCATACCCCCATGACTTGTCACTGCATACCGCTGGAGCTTTTCAGATTTCATGTGGGATTCAACTGCTTTCACTTCCATGGTCCCTAACGTGGAAGTCTTTTGGTATTAATTACGCCTTGCTATGTTTCCTGCTGGTGCCAACTAGAGATGTATCTACCGCCAACCATTTGTCATTATACTTGCATCTCCTTATCTTGACTCATCCCTAGCTCATTAGCTAGCTATAACACCCAGACGCCAATGGATGCAGCTAGCTAATGTAATGGTGCAGTCTCACATTGTCTAATGTTAAGTTAATTAAACAAAGACACACTATTGGACATTTTACGGTAGGCTACAGTGTGTGACAATTTTCCCATTAGCCTTGAATGTACCGTCTGCAAATTTAATACCTACAGCAAATTTACAGTAAATTTAAGACAACTTATGACCTTTGTTACCTTTTAAGGAGCCATGGGAACCCAGATGACAAGCATGAGTGCACTTTCCAACAGATGTGGAAACATGTCAAATGCAGAGTTAGATTTTAAAAATACAACAAGCTTCTTGAAAAATAATGACTTTAAAACTTCTTGTGACTTTTGGGAGGGTGGTTGATGTAATTGCTCCCTCTACAAATCTGTGCCCACTAGGGAGAAAACAAGTAACAATTTTTGTTCAATTCAAAACAAGGAAATACAGCACAGTAACAGTAATGATTTCGTCTGTAACAATGGGTGCATTTGCTGCAATACCAAAACCACACATATTCAATAATCTTCCAACGACTACACACACAAATTGTACCTCAGATGGCAGAAAGCACTCTTCCAGGCTGCAGCACCTGCTTGCAAAATAACACACACGACACCAGACTATGTGACAAATTAGATTCAAAATGCTCAGCAGATCTGGCTGTGTGAGTTAACGTCAGCAAATACGGCAAATGTAGAACCTGTACAATTTTGTCACATAATGCTCCGAACATTTTCCTACATAACAAGTCAGAATATTTCTTTAAAAACATGAAACACAAACATAAAGGCAGTTTATACTACAGTACCAAAGGGCAATCAATCTGTATGTTGGCTGCTTACTCAACTCATGAGTAAAAGTTTAAATCAGTAATCGAGTTAGTTCAAGTGCTTTGGGCATGTTTCATATAGTAAACAAAAAAAGCTTTTTGAACAGTCTACCTTTACCAGCTGGAGGTCTCATATTAAAGTGTGTCAGCATGGGGGCACCACTCTGCGGGGGCAAGAAAACACCAGAACATCTTACACTCTCAACATCAAAATGCAACAAATGAAAGGCATGAAATTCTCTCTGAAAAGGACGCTGACAGGCCCACACCATCAGGTGAGGCTGCAGCAAAGCTATCTATCACTGGTTAATACAGCCCCACTCTTCCTCCTGATCTAGTTCTTTCTACCACGAATCTTGTTGTTCTTTATTCTAATTCTCTCTCCCTCTCCTCAAGACACACCTCTTCTCCACAAACAATCTGCCTTTTTTCTCACATTCATTCCCTCCTACTCATATCCCTACTGTTGTTCCCATTTTTATATCAATCTCACACTTCCTCTCCTCTCCCTCCTCTCTCATCTGTTTCTCTCTCCCCTGCTTGTTCCAGTGTTTTGCCACGGCTCCTACGTTTTCCCCTGCAGGGCTGTGTGTCTGCTGTAATGAATTGTACTTAATTGCCAACTGGGACCCGCAGCCTTAAATATAATTCTCAGGACACTTAACCTAGGTCACCATGAATGATAAACACACCTTAATAAATGGGCATGGGCTTTGAGGAGAGAAGAAAACCATTTCTCTCTTTAGGTGCACCACCACAGCAAAGGTAAGCAAACACACAGAATATACTGTAAATGATCAGGGCAATAATTTATATTTTTATACTGAATCACAACACCCTCATAAGGCTAATTTATACTTCTGCATTGAGTCTATGCCACAGCCTACATCTGTATCGCTCTGTAATTACACCGGCAAAATTGTGTTTGGCGGTAGGGTTTCCATTTTCCACTATGCTGAGTTTCTTCAATGCAAGCTTTATTTGCCAGGTGTGTGTACACATACGAGGAATTTGACTCTGGATTGTACACTGCTCATGATGTGCTTACTTATACAATGATACAATAATAAAATCAGACACAGGCTACAGTGTAGAGAACACATATATACACACACACTATTAACAAAAACAATATAGACAGATTGTGACAATAGTGCAATGAGCAGAGTGCAAAGGATTCAGGAGTAAATTATTATTACCAATACCATTATTATTATTATTATGTACATGTCGGAGGTGGATGCGATATACAGGTACACATACATGCATGCATGTACACAGTGTGATGGAGCATAGTGCAAAGGATGTTTAAAAAACAATTCCCACAATAACTACTATATCAATGCACTACAAATTTGCTGTATGATAACACTCATTGCTTGGGTCGCTTCCTCTCCTCATTCTTCAAAGGACATCAACATGACAGGTGCTGTTATAACAGTAATGTAAATCGGCAAGTGCATAGCGAGTGTCTGATTGTCCGAGCGGCAGAAAGTGACGGTGAACACGAGCGGAAATGTATGTGTCGTTACGGTGTGTTAGCTCCTAAAAAGACCAAGAAAAGTCTGTTTGTTGGTTCCCCAAGTGCTGGAAAAGTGAATCAGTTTAGCACTAGCTACATTCTACCCTCCCCTTAAGACTGCGCAGCTGAGCAGGAAAGCTTATGCAGTAGGCTACGTCTTTTGGCTGCTATGTAACTTAACATTAGCTCAAATTATAGAAAGTAACTGCTAGCTGTAATTTATTACTACCTACTTGTCCAATGTTGAGAACATCAGATACAAACTTAGACTAAACTGGTGTAGCCTACAGCTCTGTCCTGTACATACTGGTTCATCCTAAATTATTTTTCAGTTTTCAGATGAGTCTGAAAAAGTGGTTGTTAAGAAAAGAAAAGACAGTGGTGACTGAAGGAGCTGAGGTTAGAAAATTAGTGAGGCAAACTAGTCCTTTTAAGCTAATGAGGCGACGTTTCTATTTGTATTTTAATGTGCAAATAAAATGCACCTCAGAAGGGAGGAGGTTTCTCATGTTGCCTATTATTTTATATTAATGTCTACAGATAAATGTCAAAAGCTGTAAAATAAAGACACAAAAGGCAAACATGAACAATTGTATCTATAATGATTCTGAGCTCATATTAATGGGGTTTTCCTGTCTTTAAGGCTTAGTGGGTGATGCCCAAAACATGCTGTGACATAAATGTAAAATCACCTTGGAGAGCATCATAACCAACCAAATTACTTTGCTAGTAGACTGATCTTTGGGTGTTGTTTATTTATTATCTGATCTAGCTTTTCCAACTATTTGTTCAGAGATATTGTGAAAATAATGGCCCAAGATGATGTGAAATTACATATTTTTCATTGGAAAACGTACCAAACCCCCCTGACCATGACTACAACAACCACCACCAAAACATTCATGTAAAGCTCACATATAGTATGAAAACAGTGAAATTTTAAGCTATTCTAATGTGCCTCACATTCTCATGGACGCAAGAGCAATGCTGCTGCCCCTGTAACGGTCAGTTTTGAGGGCAGCATCGATGCTGCCTACAGTATTACTCATAAATCTGTGCGCCTGCGGTAGCTCACAAAAAATGGACAAGATGGCAGACAAACATGCCGAAATTTGTCTACGAATACAGGTTTAAAAAAAAAAAATTGTTGTTTTTTCACTTCGATTTTTGAAAATATAGCAAGAACTAAGCACTAAATTATCATATTAGCCTGTGACTGTAAGCAACAAA